TGAAGTGAGTAATTCCACTTACATTTCCTACTTAATTGATTTCTCCTAGCCCTTAAAAGTCCTCAAATGAGGATTGAGCAACCCAGGGTGACAAAGGTATGAGTCAGAATTAAGGCAGGAGACAGAAACAAGGGGAAGTTGAGGTAAACAATTACTATCTGCTTGGAAGGGAAAGTCTACGAAGAGGAAAGCCTACTAAAATGAAGAAAATTACAAAGAATATCATAGAATTAAAGGACGGATCACTGAAGCCAGGTCTACTCTCTGAAGATGGGATTCAGATGCCATTGAAGACGATGTGGCTACACACAGCTTCACGGCTGACATGCTCACTGAAATGGCCTGGGACAGAGGAGCTCCACACTCCACGGCCTGAACCTGGTGAGGAAGGATCTCAGGCTGTGACTGGCAAACAGGAGCAACTCCCTGTTAGAGCATCAAGAGAAAAGACCAGAAGACAGGAAACTGACAGATTGGCTCTAAGAACTTGCTGGAGGACGAATACACAGGACTTCTTGCAAGCGTGCACCTGGCAACAAAGCCATAGTGGCCAAAGGAGAGAAAATATCATGAAACCAGGAAGAAGAGCCCTTTCTGCTGCACTGTCTCTCCATTGTCTCTTACCGACAAAAGTCAATTTTATGCGAGATGACCAGAGAGAAAATGGATAGGGTCTTACACCGTTATCTGAGAAAAGGGCACTGAGGGTGTTTTGGAGCTGAGAGTACTAAATGAACGGCCCCTCGGGATTATCATAGAACAACCACAGAGTTGGTGTATAAGAGCCATTCAGATCAGCCCCACTTCCTCCGAGAATGGAACCAAAGTGTACTCTCCCAATCTGTCTTGGTGCCACACGATCAAAGGTTACACTCATTTCAAGGTAGAAATTGGTTTCTAATTGGATAATAACCAGTGTCTTGTATGTTGTTTTCTTCACCTGGGTTCAGATATTTTGGAAGATATTTAGTTTTTTTAATGTTTTTATGCACACACTTCTCACAGTCTTTAAAACAATGCAAAAAAAAAATGCTAAATAATGGAGAAAACAAAAAACTAAAATCGACAGATATTTGCATGGGTCCAACAGCTAGTTATTGCCAGAATTCAAGATAAACTTGAGTAAGTTGATAATGACTCAGAGATATTTCCAGCCCAAATCAATTACAAGAAGGAGAGAGTTTAAACTCGATAATTACTTGCAAAAGAAATTCATATTTCATATATACTTTTGTTTGTGGAGATAGACATATTCTTTATTTTCTCTGTACATAATCCTTATGCTCTTCTAGAAAAATTATATGAACATTCAATATGAATAATTGTTAATGGTAGCTGTAACTAATTACTAAAGTCGTGTTTCATACAACCCAAGATTACAATGACATTGAAAATTAAGCATTTATTTTTCTTTCACCTGTTTGTGGTTGGGCTATGGTAGGGTTGATTGAGGCTGGGCGTGCATGCACTTGACTGCAGACTACATACAGATTCAGCTCAGATCTCTTTATAGATTTCATTCTTAGAGGACCAAGCTACATGGCATATGATCTTTTATACCAGAGGTAACAGCTAGCAGAAATGGGTTTCTTATTGCCCGGTCTCTGAATTCATAAGATATCACATTCCCACTCACATTATATTGTGAAAACAAGTGATCACATCCTTACATTATATTGTGAAAACAAATCACATGGGCCAACTTCTCATGGTTGTCTGTAGAGTATACTCTTTTCAAAGTGGTCAGAGGGAAGAAATGTAGATTCACTGAAAGTAACCTAATCTAACATTGTAGCCATAGGGATTTTTTTTTTATTACATTTCATGAGATAGATAAGCTTGTAAAGGAAAATTACTGGGAAATTTAGATTTAAAATTTAGTACTGTCTTCCCTTCCCATCTGGAATTTTTGCTTCTGTGCCCAAAATCCTTGTAAAGCAGTTTTGTACAGTGCCAAACATGGCGGTTTAGATGCTTTCACCATGGTCCTTGATCAAATAAGGTATAAGCAGAAGGAAATAAAGTCTAAGGACATTGGCAGTGAAACTGGTCACTTTATGTAATTTCTAAGTGCACACTCTTAGCCCTGGGGCTCAGTTACAGAACTGCTCTGGCTCAGGTTCCTCTGAAGGAAAATATGATAAAAAGAGGATCTTGTTCATAGTTACTTGAAGATTATTTGAACAGTACTTCTTGGCCCATAAGTATTCACTCTCTCTCAGGTATTTCGGCTTAAGATCTTGATGCTTTTGTGCCATCACCTGTGTTGTGATAATCTGAACTATAACACTTTCATAGGCTGTTCTGAGGAACAAATAATAATAAATAATATAATGCCTACAGATCCTTAAAATAAAGCCCAAGCACATGAAGGTCTTGCTGTCTGTGATCTCTTCATATTTTGCTTTTCCCAATGTTCAATAAAGGCCATTTTCCAATAAAACCAAAGCCATATAATTGTCTTCTTCTTTCCAGCCAGTGAAAGAGCCAGGCATCAGAAATGTAATTTGACAACGATTTTGATCATATACATTAAAGAAATTTGCCCTTAAAAAAGGTGAGAAATTCAATACGCATCATGTATGTGCACTAGAGTAATTTTTTTCTGCGTATATGTTTCCTGTTCTGAAATCAAGTTGGAATTACTGTTGTTTCCCTTATTGGTCAAGAACCCCAGTCTCCTCACAAAGTGTGTTATCTGGGCATATGCAAAGACTGTCTCTTTTGGAATTGAAGAATTTGAAAGGGATTGTTAAACTGTGACATGATAGCCTGTTTGATTCCTAGATTCAGGGATCCTTCAGGGTCCAAGGGGAAGAAGGGACCGAAATGTCCTTTCCCTTCCAATGTTGGAGTATCCCATCCACACATATGCATCTATTACCACTAAGAATGGAGAAATTTAAGAGATGCTGCTAAATGCATTCTGATGTAGAACACCTACCATTTTCTTCCAAAGCATGTTTTACATGTCTAAATACATACATAAAACAGTGCCTAAATTATTACCTGTACCCCTAAGAAACCATGGGGATTATTGTTGAGCTTGGGTTATGGGATCCACAAAAACTACTGGCGATATATAAATCTGGAACATTATTAAGGAGCTGCTAATCAAGAATAGATTGAGAATAGAAAGAGTCACAGAGAAGTCAGGGATTTAGGATCAAATTGGTAATTTTCTCTGTGTCTACTTTTGTGAGAATAGCCATAGGTATCAAACATAATGGACTCGTTATTTTGGATTCCAGAATTAAATTACCCATTTAGT